TTTTTTTTTTTTTTTTTTTTTGGGGGGGGGGGGGGGGGAGTAATGCTGTTCAGCATTGACCATTTAGACATCTATAAAAGTATATCCACGTGGTCAAAAAATTGATGTTGATAATACCTGTCAGTCGTTGACAAATGAAATAATACTGATGATGATGCTTATCCTAATAGTGACTATTTTTTTTTTTTCAAAATAAATATCACTAAATTAAAAAAAAATGTTGTTTTTCATACTAAGAAGAAAAAAGCAAAGCATTTTTCCAACTTGTCATTTCTATTACAGAAAAAAGAGAGCCAAAAAAAAAGAGAAAACAAAAAAGAGAAAGATTATCCCCTTACTATAAGGTATATCGTAAATTAACATTAATATTAAACCTTATAAATACATTAATATCAATCAGATGACTATAATTTTTTTTGGTTTGTCCGTCATTGTGTCTTATATCCTTCAGTATTTATATAGACATCTGTCGATCTTTTTCTGTGTGTGTGGTATATGTATAATATATGTTCAAAAATAGCATTATTTTTGAAGCAAAAAAAATTTTTTTTTTTTTGTTGAAGCATTATGCAGAAAACAAATGGAAAAAGAAAAAACTAGGAAGAGTATAAATAGGTTATGTAAAAGTTGCTTTGATCACTGTCGCCGTCAAAAAAGCAGCCTCAGCTATGCTTATTGAAGTTTCAACAAGATTTGAGTGAAAAGTCACCAAACTTGATTCTGCACTAATCATTGGTCAGCAACAGTATCAGTGAGATTACGTTCACCTTTATAACAGTGGATTAAAGCTGACGATGGCAGTTTAGGAAAACAGGTCACACAGCTAATGAATGACACACTCCAAAATGAACCAATTTGCTGCCATCTCTCTGTACAACACTTATTAAGAACGTATCAATTAAAATTTTGTTACTATTTTACATTAATTAATTAATTAATTAATCAATTTTTTGTGGCTTCTATTCTGCCAACATTACTATGCAAATAAGAATTATTAAATTCTATAGGATATTTGCCGCCGCCGCTATTGCTGCTGCTGCTGCTGCAAAAAAAAAAGAAAAATCACTGAGGAAGAAAAAAAAAATTAGCATCAAAAAGAAGAATCTATCAAAGATAAAAAACAAACAAAGAAAAAAGAACAACTTAAGACATTTATTCTTTGTTTAATTGTTGCTTTAAAAAGTTTTTTTTTTTCCTCTGATTTATTTTACAGCTCACTTGATTGTTTTCTTTTTTTTTTTTTTTTCAAACCAAAAACTAACATAAATTGACTGCAAAACTGAAAATCAACTGCAAATTGTTGGCCAATAAAAAAAAAAAAAATTATGTTAAAAAGATAAAACATAAAAAAAACAAAACAAAACAAAAATTATTTTTTTGATTTATATCAGTTTAAGATAGCTTTTTCTACTTAAAATTTTGACTAAGTTTTTTCATTTATTGTTGCTTAGCGGTAAGAAAAAAATGCAAAACGAACAAAAGAGGTAAAACTGAAAAGTGCTCTACCAAATAAAAAATAAAAAAAAAATTGACTTCAATTAAGTAAGTGATTTATTTGCTAAATTTTTGAGGAGGAACGAAAAGAAGACGACGGTAACGAAAAATAATGACACGTACGTTCGGTATTTTCAACCGATACTTAGCCGATGGTGGTGTATTTTGTGAACTGTTAGAAGCGGAAGAAAAAACAACAGAAATCAAAAGTTTTATAAAGAAAAAAGAAAAAAAAAATTTATTTTTTTTTCTCCTATTAAACAGCTTAAGAGGCCGCAACACAGTACTTTAGTGAAACTCAATTTTGTGCCGCTGTTCACCAGTCGCATCTCCTCTCACCGGGTTTCTACTTCAACTGAGTCTCTCAAAGTATACGGTAAAAAAAAGACTCAGCTCTTCCAATTGCCTGCAACGGTCTAGGTAAAACATTTTTTGAAACTTGATTTTTGAAGACATTTCATTTTTGTCTGCCTTTTCTCAATTTTTTTTATGCTTTGATTATTACAGTTTTTGGTTGACCTCTATAACATTTCCCTAAAAAAGCACCTGTTTCGTTTTTTTTTTGTTAAAATACCGAAACAACTAAAAGCCAAGGCAGAGAAAAAAAAAGCCAAAAAAAAGCTCAATTGTTTTATAAAATTCTGTCGGTGTTGTCAGTGTTGTTGCTGTTGTCGCTGTTGAGTCGATAATTGTTATTAGTTGATTAAATTAAAACAGCTTACATTAGGATAAAAAAAGAAGGAAAACGATCAACGACAAAGCAACAATGGTCATTTCGGTAATGCTGTTATTAATGATTTTCGCTACTGCTGTTAAACTCCATTTTTCTTCCCGAAAATACCTTTTTGAGATCAAAATAGCCAATTAAGCGATAAAATAGGTAGAAGCAACAATGAACGATAACAAATACAAAAGTTAGCATTTTTGAATGCTTCTAGTACGAGAACTACCGGAAGAAATGAAAACTGGGTACTTTCTTCTTCTTCTTTTCATATTTTGAGGTTGTTAGCTACAGAATTGATTAGTCTTACCAACACCTTAATCATCATCGTCATATATATATATGTACTTTTGGCTGTAGTTGCCTCAACCACAGATACATTCAAACGTACCCAAAGGGTATAATCAAAAAGCGCTAAGGAACTTTTATCATAATTAATCAATTTAAAATCTAATTGAATTAATATATGTGTTTCTCACTGCTTTTATTAGCCTCATTTAACAAACTTTTGATTAAAATTGTTAAACAAAGTTCTTATTGCTTTTATTCTTCTTTCTTCTTCTCCTTTTTAATTCTCTTCCTCCCTATCTTCTCCTTTCCTCATTTCCTCCAATTATCATTCTAAATTTCTCACCATTCTCTAAATCCAATCCTATAACTCATGTCATTTGCATCTTCCACCACTCCTTCTCCTCCGCCCCCGCATTTGTTAGTTCTTCTCTAAACATAGTCAATTTTTGTCAGTTTCTTTATTTGTTTGGCTACAAGTTAGATTGCAGGAAAAAGGTAAGAAAATAGGTGAAAAAAATGAGAAAAAAGCAGCAAATAATCTGAATAGTTAATCTGTCAGTGTGACAAAATTCTTCCTTTTTGCTTAATTTTTCAATTTTGCATTTTTTTTTTTTCATTTACTTTTTTTTATTGCAGTACATTTCAGTTGATGGGAGAATCACAACACGATCAACTTATCCATCGACATACATTGCTTTGGCTTTTTACTAGGAAGCAGAGCAACAGTGATGGAGAAGAAACAAGGCAAAAGAAGAAGTTTCGCGATTTTTGAATTTATTTCGTCATCAACAAGGAGCTTTTGGTTTGATTTGGAGGAAAAGGAGGAGGAGAGACGGGGAATTTTGAAATGAAGAAACTGGTTGAAAAAGATAAGAACTGTTGTTTATTGTTGCTCTTTGCTATTGTTATTATTCTTTGTTTGAATTATAAAGCTCTCGTCAAAAACCCAGCTAATAAATGATGATGATGACGACGATGGTGCCAAAGCTGATGCCTGATGATGACGATGATGATGATTTTTAATGATGATGCTGGTGATGGTGATGAAGATGATGATTACGCATGCAGTGATCTTTGTGGTTTGGTGGTCTAATAGACGAAAAAAAAAAGAACACGCATCTGAAGACGGCGGAGAAAAGAAAGTGAGCATTTTTGGCAATCAGCGCTTAATTTATCTTCAATAATTTGGTAAGCTTAATGAGGACGTTAATTCAGCTGCATTTTAATAGAATGACAACAATGACAAATTCGCTAAACATTTATTGGAAGAAAAAGAGCAATAAGTGTTTTCTGGAGGTCAAACGGCTCCATTGCAAAAATATCCATCAAAAAATTGCTTTACTGAAACAGTGGAAAGAACCTCATTTACGTGTCAAAACTGTCCCCATTACCCTCTCAACTACCCTTTTCTTCTCTTTTTATCCATCCCACACTTCTCCTTCCCCGATTTTCGCTTCATTTTCTGCCCCACT